ATACATGGCACAGAACCTGTATCGCATGGCACGGAACCTGTATCGCATGGCACGGAACCTGTATCGCATGGCACGGAACCTGTATCGCTCGTCGAAAAAAGTGCCCGCCGGCTAAGTCAACTCGCTCTAGACAAGCAACGATTCCGCACACTCGTAGACGCTGTACGCTTCGACGTCAAGGGCGCCTCCGTCTCACTAGGCAATCACCCACTCATTGTCTGGCTAGGTACCAAAGACTTCCGTCTAGCACACGACCGCGAGATCGAACGAATCTGCTGTGAATATGCCGGCCTCACCATGGCTACGGACTCTAGAACTCATCATCATTCAGGTCATCCAGGTCATCCAGGTCATGATCATCCAGGTCATCCAGGTCATGATCATCCAGGTCATGATCATCCAGGTCATGATCATCCAGGAAAAACAGTGGTGGGCTTCCAAGGAAGCAGTTACAATTTGCCGCGATTGAAAGACCATAATATTGATGTCCGTTGCCGGACTAAAACTTTCGTCTTGGACAGTCCGGCTTTATCTTGGTGTGCGACTAACGGTACTGCCATGACCAAGAAGAACCCGGCTCGAGTCCAGGTGTTGAAAGCCGGTACAATGCGTCTCGTTTTGGAACTGGTTGACGACGAAGGTGTCCCTGTTCCTAATCAGTCAGTTTCTGAGTTAGCACTTTTGCGTGTGTCCTTGCCTATGGTCGACGTGGATTTGCTCAAGGAATTGTACACCAGTACCTTTCGTACTCTTACCCAGGCGCCCCCCGACGAGTACCCTACCATTGCTGTCGACCAGTCATGCATCTGCCTACCCAAACCTCTTGTACCTTGGGAACCCACGCTCTTCCGTATCCGCATCCGGAACTGCTGTACTCATGGCTTGCCCGCCAGCTTCTCGCTCAACTGCCTCTCCGACTCCGGCCAGTCCGTCATACCCCTCGCCAAACATTCCTTCCACTACCACGCCGCCGCTAACGCACACACGGGTGCGGACAAGTCCTACGCACACACGCGCGCGGACAAGTCCAACGCACACACGAATTTGCTCGCCGGCTCTGCTGGCGAAGGAACCGACCGGCGCCGGCTACCCAGCAAGTCACTTACCGGCAAAAGCAGCGGCGGATTCAGCAGCGGCCGCACCGCAGGCTTCCTGAGCATGGTGCTCGGCACCGGCCGCGCGCGCTCCGGCT